AGGTGACTGAGTTATTGCTTGCACTCGTAACGGTATAGTAAAACGTGGCAAACGAGAGTTCTGAAGAGCTAGAAACTGCAATCCATCCTCTATATATTTAGTTCCTCCTGCATTTAAGAAGAAAGGCTAGGTTAAATTCAACTGCATCATGAGGTCCACTCATCTTATTGTAGGAAAAACTAAACAGTAAGTCCATAAATAACTCTGAGTGATCTAGGGCGAATAAGTTCTTATTCAAATATATCGAGAACTCTTTTAGGCCTTTGCTAATATACAAGATTTCTGCGCACATTATAACAAAGAATATGGAGGATAGTAGAAATTATAATAGGAATAAAGATATTTTCCACAGTGAAATTTAAAGTAATAAGGCGTATGTCCCTATGCAGATAATAGGCATATTTATTTATAATAAATTATGTTTCGACCTTTGGTTGTTCCAAATTTGTGGAAATATCACCACTGATAGATTGTTAACTAGTTTGCATAATTAAAAACAAAATATATAAATTAATAATAGTACAACTTTAAGCAAGAAATATAAATCTATAAATATGGAAATAAAAGAACTAACGTGCAACCTTGGGCAAAGACCGCTTCTGTCAAGGTGGATGCGGGATATAACGCAGGGGGGTTGCTGCAAGGATGTCTTTATTTTCTGATTGTCGCAGTAAGTTGTAGTCATTGTTATTGCCTAGACCATTTAATTAATATTCGCAAGAAAGTAACGCAAACGGGAAAAGATGTGATCTCTAGAAGTAAAATGTGGTCAAAGATTTCTTCTGAACAACCGAAAAATTGTGATATGATAGTGACATTTTCATCCACCACCAAACACGAATCGATACTTTGGCTTGTCAGTCTTTTCAGAAAAAGAGTTCCTCAACTTATTGCTTCTATACATTATCACAAGAATACTTGCCAATATGCCTTATACATTTCTGCCCGTTATAGTGAGTATGCTTAAAACAATTGTCTATGTTAATTTAACTAAGCCTTCTTCGAGGTGCCGAATTGATTGGACTCAAAAAACCCATCATTCCACAGCATGGCTATGGTTGCCGCGAGTTTTCTGTCGATGACTTGGATCTGTTTGAAAACGTGACAGAAGAAACTAGTTTTCTTACAAGTCTTGAAAGAGGCAGTATTTTACAGCATTATTTGAATAGCCTACGTTCTGTTGCTGGGGATAAATGGGATAATGAGCTAATTTTTGGTGAGGGACAAAGTATAGGTAAGAAAAATTTCGATACTATTATGCACATTTTTCGCGTACCCGCATTGATATAGATAATAATTTTGGATTAATAACCTAATTCGTTTTTGCTTTAAATTGTTTTCCCCAATTTATTTTTGTTTCCTGCACATGAATATGAGCACATTGTAGACCTGCAAATTATCCCATCTCATTCAATTATAAATTCGATGACTATTTGGTTGCTTATTGATGCCACTGTTTGCATTTGTTTACTTTTTATATTTAAGGTATAGTAGATTATAATTATTCTTTATTCTATATCCACATAAAAACTGTTATTGGACAAAATTTGACTTCTTACAATTAGGATGCTAGCATGAAGCACCTCATACAGAGACGGGATAAAACCTAACCCTATTGGGCCGCCTCCCTCTTTATAGACTCATTTGAACCAAAGTATTTAACCTCTGTCAGTAATAAATAAATTTTACTTGACTAAGTAGGAAATATGCTCATTTTGATCAACGAATACATTTTTATTCGGCTTTTTAGATCGTTATATTACTCCATGTTTTATATTAATTCCTTACGTGGAAACGTGTCTCTGTATTGGCATGAATAGCCTTATGCATTTCTCATCACATATTTGACTTCAATTCTTG